TTGTTCATGCAATCGTGGTAAGAAATAGACATCACAGTTCAATTATTTCATTGAGATTATTGTCATGGCAAGTCAGATTAGCTTTAACCTTTACTCACAGCACCACTAGGTTGCAATTGGAGGATACAGTGATCCCATAGTGTTCAGTATCCTCATTGTAATTGATGGTTTGATTACTTTCTCTTGTATCAATACAATATCACTGCGGTTTCTAGTAAGTATGCAGCTCTTTGTTACCCCGAGCAATAACACTTGGTTGCTTTCTAACACATTCTGCCACTATCTGCAACTCACCAATATGGACTGCACACTAATCCACCTCTTGTTCTGCACCTGAAAGGCTTTGAACCTGACGTAATTTAAAACACACAAGATTCTGATCTGGCATCAGATAATACACTGTCACACCACAGGATCCTCAGCAAAGCTTTCTGTTCAGCATTAGAGAAACATCCTGACTTTTTACAGCAAAGAGAAGAGGTCACAGATAGACATTTGTATCGACTATAAGGCAAGTCAAGGCAAGTTTATTTGTATAGAGCACATTGGCACTTATAACTCATTTAAATACAGATAAAAAATATTCCAGCAAAACAAGTTTTACAGACTCATCTGGCATGGCAGAAGAAGAAGAAGAAGAAGATTTCCATTCTTCAGCCAAACTACTACTTCACACTTCAGTCCAATTGGTGGCAGCAGTGCGCCAAAAAGCTTGTGTTGCAACTGCAAAGAAACCTCAATGACTCCTTTGGAATCTATAGACTATTACCTGAATAATTACAATACTTCATATATCACTAATAACAGATATAATACTACAGGCAGTGTGAGGACATGGTGGACAGACAAGGTGTGACTAAAATGCCCTGCTCAGAGAAACCACTTCACCTCCATAACCTCTGTGATCTAAACAAGTATGTCACCAACAAACGATCATCATTTCGTCAAAATTATCTGTACAGGCAAATAAATGTGGGCATAGCACTCAACCTCACACTAGAACCAAACTCAGAAAAAAAACAAAAGGGACACTTATGCAACACCAAACCCGACCTAAAACCAACAAACACACACACTCTTTTATATTTCTCACGCATGTGAAATACAAGTTAGATCATCAATGTGACGATCTGTGGAGCAGAGACAGACAGGCTGCAGCATGCAGCTCTATGACTGCATATGAATCACAGCATGATAATCTGATGGCTGAACCTGAGCCAGACATCTCACGTACACCGCACACACACACACACACAAGGCTTGGGTGCTCCCAACGGTAGAGCCACCGAAGCTTGCAAAGTGACAACAGTTTAACTCCCCTCTGCTCTGTTTTGTCTCCATGTCACAACAGTGACACACGGTACATGAGAAATTATTTATTTACAGTTGAATGTGACAGAAATTGTTGCAGCAAAACGTCAAAACAACATGGAAATCAGCAGTCAGTAAATACACAGTAAAGAGTATCAGTCTGGTGTACAGTGAAGGAGATAGGGTCTGTTAGAGAAATTTAGAAATGGGTAAATTATTGAGGAAAAAGAGTGAAACAGAGACAGTGATTACACAGAAGAGACAAGTATGGACGGAAACAAACTTTATCAATGCCAACCTACAAACATAGTCAAAATATTATCTTAAATGTTGCCTATTTTTACTGATGTTCAAATCAAATCAAATCAAATCAAGTTTATTTATAGAGCACATTTTAAAGCAGCTGCATTTGACCAAAGTGTTGTACAAAATAAAGAATGACACACAAATATGTCGCAGTATAAAATGTGCACACACATAAATCAGAATAAAACCGTTAAGAACAATCACATACGTAAAAAAGATTATAAAATACTAAAATATTAAACCTACTCCAAACAACCAAAGGCAATTGAAAGCATGTATGTTTTAAGATTTGTCTTAAAAGTGTCAATGGAGGATTTGACTGAGAGCGGAAGGTTATTCCAAAGCTTTGGAGCAGCTACCACACAATTTTACCTAACTGATACAAGGGAAGGGTTATCAAAGAGAAAGCTACTTAAAAAAGATCAAAGATAATGGCAAGTATTTGGTCTATGAGCTTGTAGATTTTGTGTTTGCAGGGGTCCTGCGTCCTGTCTAACACCCCAGTCTGAACTGCACAAATGTGGCACGCTGCTTTTTAAGGGAATTGTTTTGCTTTGTAAACCAGGTTATGTCAACTCAGGTTAGAGATAAAGGTAACCATCAGGACCTCGTGGCGCAACGGTAGCGCGTCTGACTCCAGATCAGAAGGTTGCGTGTTCAAATCACGTCGGGGTCAGTGACTTTTAAGGACTGCACTCATTCCTCTGATGTGTTCCATTGAAGCTTTGCCATTGAACTGTTCAAAGAAATTACACACATACCTCACAGCTCGCAGTCGTTCCATGAATGGAAACATTACAAACTGGCAGGGCATGTGAACAGTGCAGAACAATCTATCCATCCATCTACTAAGTTTAAGTAATATCGGTGAGGTGAGGTGCCTGTGCAGAGCCAAAAGGAAACTATAAGACAATAGCGACCTCAGACACAACCGGTTAACTCTACTGCCATCTGGTAAGCAACATAGAAATATCTGCTGCCTTGTAGTAGCCTTGTAACTTTGCAGGAGAAGTCATGTGTAGGGCCTCATGGTGCAACAGGAGTGCACTTGACTCCACATCAGAAGGTCATGTGTTCAGATCACATTGTAATAAATGCTTTTTAAGGACTGCTCTCACTCCACTTAAGTATTACAATAAACCAGTGCCATTTACTGTCTGAAGACATAGATAGCACAAATACCTCACAGCTTGCATGTTATCAGATTTATTCCCTTACATGTGGCCCATCAGTTACTCTACTACAGAAATTTTCTCCCTCATCAGATTAACAGTGGAAAATAGAGAACAGATAGATAGCATAACTTGTAAACTCTGATTGCAACTGAATGATGAGTGCAAGTGGAATGAAATCACTACACTTAGTAAATAACGTTCCCTGCAGCTTGTTATGGTTGTAATGCATTCTTTCTTGCACGTCGTATGTAAACTTTAATATCACTGAAACCGGGAATGTAGTTGAAATGTTAGTATACTGCTGAAGGCCACACACAGAACAAATACACCTGACTAACAATGAAAAGCAATGTTTAAAAAAAGGGAAATATGTCAGGAGAAAATAACTCAAGTTAGGTTTTAACCACATAAGTTTTGCTTAACAGCACAGCCCATTCCAAAACTATAAGAGCAGTGCTGTCATTAATAGGTTAAAATCAGCAGGTCTGATTAACTGTGCTCCTTCCTGACTGTTAGTAGAGTAAAACAGGGACGGAGGCAGTAGCTGGTAGAGAGAGAGAACTGGACAGACTGGATTTACTACTGACAACTATATACACAGACACACACAAAGGAGCAAACACCCACACACTCCGAGATAAAATCATGTGCGCACACAGACAGAGGGCTGTTCCACTGGTGTAAAGGTAGTTGTCTCGGCTCACGTCCAGCTGAGATATGCACTCTGTGGCGTTTACAGTCACCACTGACAAAGTTTACTACAGCATGTCAGTCCTGGGAACGTACTTTCACTGTTTATGTTTTAGGATCACTGATAGTGCTAGAGTTTGACAGCATCATACAGGTATAGGGTGTAGAAAACTATACTGGTAATCAAAAATCAGCTGTTATTGTGCATACATTTGTCATGGCAATGAATTCTATATTCTGTCATTGGTGGGATGTAAAGAGCCCAATCGTCCACCAGGGGGAGTAGATACTCACAGCCTCAACAAATGGAAGATTATGAAAAGGAGAGAGGAGAGGAGAAGAGAGGAGAGGAGAGGAGAGGAGAAGAGAGGAGAGGAGAGGAGAGGAGAGGAGAGGAGAGGAGAGTTTCAGACAGCAGGTGCAAAACAGCTGTTCCCACCCCTAATCCCACCTGATGCGTAACCATGGCACCTACCACAGTCATTATAAGGTGTGTGGATGCACACAAACTCTTCAGGTTCTCATTCATGCACAAATGCACACAAAACCCAAAAAGCACCTGCGTATCAAACAGACCAACTCACTCAGATCAATTCACAGCTCGTGAACTTTAAACCTCAGATGTGGGACATGTTTGTTTCAACATGAAACAGCAGCATTAGACACACAGTGTTCTTGAGAGTATATTTTCAGATTTCACAAGATAGCAGCAGCTCCAAGACATCAGATATCCTGAGAAAACTGCTAACAGATAGGCATCAGAGATAACACTTTCAAGCGAAACTCGTATGTTTCATCACCATTTTGGAGGAATACATTATGATGGCGCTGTGGGCTTTAAGCGTGAATGTCTTTGAAGTGATGATGAACCCAGATAAATCATCCACGACTAGATTCAAACCACTTCCTCCTTACAAAGACACAAGGAGGTGTTATAGCTCACTAACTGGTCCCACATTAAAGTCAAACAGCTGGTGACTCAGGTGTAGTCAGCACTGTTCCCATGGGAAGGATGCAGTGGGATTGTGGGTAATCATTTACACTTATTGGGTGGGGTGAGTAGTGTGATATCATGCTGCCTTTGACACAGATTCTGCCCACACACCCTTATACTGGAAACTATAGTAATACACACCCTCACACACACATATCAAAGTGGACTCACTCTATCATTCAGCCATCCACATACTGTATGAAAGCAGCAGAGGATTGCCAGTAGGTGGAAATGATTAAACACAGAACATGCTGGTGCGCAGGAGTTAAGTGTTTTGTAATGTTTTGGTAATGACGAGACAGTAAAAGCAGACAGGTGTAATCATGAGCACATGTTCGAGAAACTCTCTGTAGCACTGCCAACGCTTTGTGCACAAAGTTTCAGACTCTGTTTTTGCCAGAGGAAAATGGAAATGAGAAGAGGTTGTAAAACAGGTAGTGGCAGTTTGGGAGAGTAAACAAATAAATAAATTATGCAAACACATACTCCCCTTTCCTCTAAATCCCTGACACACTTTGACTCACCCTGTCTTTGTCATCCACCACATCACACAGCATGTCATCCTGGTCCAGAATGCCTCCATCTCCGTGCTCCAAGCGGTGGACCTGGACCCAGTAGCTGGGGTCCTGGAGGAAGAAGAAAAAGACATATTAGCTGTGAAATGAGATCAGCTTTATTTGGACCATATAGACGTAGGATATGAAGCCTTATGTAAGTAAAGCCATGCAACATGTTTGCATTGCCAGGCCAAAGGAATTAGCAGCAGCGTGTGTCTCCTCAGGAATCAGCTGATCTAACCACCACGTGGTTCATGTAATGATCCAGTCAGCTGGCACACGGGGGCTCTGACATGGTTATGGATTGACATCATGATAGCGGTTATGAAATATCTTAATCTCCTGCTGGTTGGCGTGCAAAGTCAGCATATGGCTCATATCAGGAGGAGCCATATTCATCTGTTCTTATAGCTACATAAAAAGTAACAGTCCTCCACTCTCCGCTGTTCAGCTGAAAACCTGTCTTCACCCTTTTTTGGCATCAGCATATGAATATCATCCATGCATACATGACACATTCAGACACAGCATGTCCTGCAGATCAAGTCCTGCATCAACACAGTGCATTATACAAAGTGCAGTCAACTCAACACGACCTTTTCAGAAATAATAGTATAAATAACTGCTTCTCTCAAACGATAATGAGCTGCTGCATGTTCGCAACAGTTGGTGTTCTTATTTAATACTGCATCAGGGATTGTACAGTGTGTTGTGTGCTTTGTGGACTCAACAGCACTTCATATTAAAGTGTAAATGTATAATGTGTGTAATGTGAAAAAGACAAGATTATATATGTAGTAGAGAATACGGCTTTGCGCCAGCATACTCACTGGACACACATGCTCATCTGAAATCTCATTAATCTATTATACAGCCCTTCAAAGGCAGGGAGCAATAACTACAGAAGCAATTACGTTAGGGAAATGGTTTCAAGTTTCGAGGCTAGCTGGCAAATTGTGTAACAGATATAAAACTTCATTTTTGTCTGCTAAGGGTGGTTATTTTACCTCCCAAAAAATATTACTCAAGTATCTACAGTACATAACACCTGAAATGCAGATAGAGCACTCTGCCTTTGGATAATCATCAGGAAATGTGAGGAAAATATAATATATACCACCCAAATGTGCTTTATCATCCTAATAAAAATTAAATGTGCCTGTTATGATAGGTCACTGACGGTCTGTTGGTTAGTAGCATTCAAAATAAAACCAACCATCAATTTTCATCCGCTTTTGCGATGCCGGGTCGTGAGGGCAGCAGGCCAAGCAAAGCACCCCAGACGTCCCTCTCCCTAGCAACGCTTCCCAGCTCCTACTGGAGGACCCCAAGGTGTTCCCAGGCCAGATGAGATATGTAATCCCTCCAGTGTGTTCTGGGTCTGCCTTGGGGCCTCCTACCAGTGGGACATGTCCGGAACACCTCTAACAGGAGGCGCCCAGGAAGCATTCTCATCAGATGACCGAACCACCTCAACTGACCCCTTTCAAGCAGCTCTACTCGGAGCTCCTTCCGGATGTCAGAGCTCCTTACCCCATCTCTAAGGCTGAGCCCAGCCACCCCACGGAGGAAACTCAATTTGGCCGCTTGTATCCGCAATCTTATTCATTCAGTCACTACCCTGATCTCATGACCATAGGTGAGGGTTGGGACGTAGATGGACCAGTACATCGAAAGCTTTGCCTTCCAACTCCACTCCCTGTTCACCACCATGATCCAGTGCAGTGCCCGCATCACTGCTGAAGCCACACCAAACCATCAGTCCAAATAAAATCAATATAATGCATTTATTTTCAAATATGTGATTAGGCAGCATAGACACACCAAACCAGAAGAAATACACTGGAGTCAAAACCAAGCAGCTTCATCCGGGACTGAAAAATGAAGGCAAAACCACAGCGTGACGTCACAGTGGCTATATCCATCATGGTAAAACCTCGGATGGCAGTGACAAATACTCTGCATTTAGATTAGCTTCAGAAGGATTTTAATTGGAGGTTTTTCTCCATCCTGATTGGACTTTCAGAAGTGATACATTTCTACACAGACTTTTAGGCATCAAAAAGTCAGATTCAAGTCTTGACTCAATTCATTTTGCCTTTTTTGTCAGTATGGTTTGTAGAGGAAACTACTGGACATGTAAAGCAGCTTCATATATATTCATGTACTGAATATAAACAGAATATGATCAAATTTTCCATGTTTGATACTCAGAAATTAAAGGTTTTCTTATTCTCTCTGTGTTTCTTTCCTTCCTCCCCGTTCTCCCTCAGCCAGACAGGAGGCTAAAAAGAAAGCACTCAGCTCAGTGACCGTCCTTCCTCCTTCACCATGTCAGGAAAGAGTCTGCGCACTCTTTTCTCTGCATTTTATTCTCACTCTTTCCCCTCCCTCTGTCTCTTTTCCTCCAAAACTGAGCTGTCTTCGGGTCTGTGGTTAAATGCCTTCATGCACAGCTCTGTTGTACTGAACCCCAATGTGGTTCACCAGGCAAAATGGTCCAAATCATGAGGGGAATAACTGTGTGGTATTTTCCTTCCTTCTGAGGTTATTAGCAGGGAAGAGATGGCAAGTTTATCAGGAGCACTCCCAAATGAAAAGATGAGAAATCAGAAGCAAAGAGTTCAGTTAGAGCCACTGAAAGAAATAAAAGAAATTGCAAAAACCACACGATAATACTACTATAAAAAAAAGAACATACTGAAAACACAAGAAGAAAGACACGTCATGACATCACAGCAGTCATTACAGGCCACAAACTGACCTTCAGCTTTACACAGGGCAGAAAAAAGTCTTTAAATGTTCAAATGCTGACATGCCCCATGTCTGCTTGGCATGGTCCTCATTCAGACTTGTTCTTCGGATGGATTATAAAGAACAAATATGACTCTGACAGAAGCTCAGCCGCATAATTTAATCCCAGAAATGCGCTTGGGATGGAAGGAAAGCATTTGAAAAACACTGTTTAGATCTGACTTGGGTTGAAATGATGTGGGGAGCCTCACATCAGTGGTGCTTTGCCTCCAGCACGCCAAGAAATATCAGTTCAAGGCCTCTTCATTACAAGAGTATTAGCAGGGAATTCATCACTAGCTGGGATTGGGTTGGATTTTATGTTGTGGGGGTCATCTCTGAATGCTTTGGTGTAAATACCAAGGTCTTAACTCATACACACACAGCTCAAGTTTCCTTGGTGGATACTGGTAAGTATTAGTAAGACCTGCCACAACTGGTCATGTTCGCCGTCCAGCTCACACGAAACCCAAAGGTCAAACTGTCTGTTTATTCTACTTCTTAGTATCATTCATCCTTTCTCTCCAATCCTGAAGAGATGAGAATATAGGACGTGACTTTTAATGTTGTATTCATACTTAAAACTTGGTTTTCCTTTCTTAGTAATGGGTGCTAATCTCATTCATGCAACATGCAACTCGGCTTTTCACAAGGAATCTCTTGAACCTTGAATTATCTTAAAAGATATATGTAATCTGACTGATTTAAAGGGGAATTCTTTAAACATAAATATTAGTATCAATGCTTGCTGACATGGAAAATCTGAGTTTGTAGATTGTCGTTTAGGGGCAACCTAAAATGAAACTTTCATCACAGCTGACATCTGAGCACATATGGGCTCAATCAAATCTTGAACACACAGTTCAAGCAGTACAAATGGACTGAAGGGAAACAGAGAGGGAGTTGATCCTCCCAACAAAGAGTGCATTGTGACAGCCATTCATATTACTGTAGTGTACAGTAACAGTGGATAGGGAGGACAGCTCTGGAGTTGATAAAGTGTTAGCACACTCAGCAGTCAACCATCATCTCTGCCACTAAATCAACACATGCAAGCCAGGCTCTTGCAGTGATGCAGCTCTCTGACTACAGATATTTTTTATCATGGTTTAATGCACTTAGACGAAAACTAAACTCTGCACACAGAGGACCAGAGTCATCTGCTGTACTGATAGGTCTCTAAGCAGAGCACTTTTCTGTGCTGCCTTCAGCCAGTAAGTGGAAAGAGAGTTTCCCACATGGTATCAGAGTCATATTATCGTCATGCATCCAAAGAGATACTGCTACTCTCATCATGTAAAGTCCTTCCAGAGACAGACTGAAAATTCATCTTTGATTGTGGTAAATAACTTTATTAACACTGTTCGGCCTTGAGGTCATTTTTACCATGGAAACCCACATCAGATCAACACACCGCATCCACACTGTTGTTCTCAAGCTCCAGACCACATTAATGCACCATCACTACAAGTCATGAGACATAGGCCCAATCCCATTTTCACTCCTTAAATCTTCCACTTGGTATTGAGTGCCCTCGTTTGCGAGATAACCCTTGATGAGGAAAGTGAGAAATATTAGGGTAGAGATCCTTCCCTAAGAAATGAGACACAACTTCATGCAAATTGGTGTGGCTAACATGCAGGCATACGTCACGCGTAGTAGCGACGCGCGATACCGGTAGTCATTCAGGTTTGAAAATGCCGGCTCCAGCGCTTGTGTTGTGGCGTGTGCTATGTTTATTCTTCTCCATCTGAGAAGACGGTGCCTACGACGTCTTCTAGTTCTGATCGATTTCGTTTGGGTAAGTCGATTTGTTTAAGTATTTTGACGCTGTGTTCAACCCAGTTGTTGATGAGTTAACGCTAGTCCAACCATCTGTTGTCTGTATAGCCTACATTCAGATAGTGCAGTAACAAAGTTGCTGACTTCGCAATGTGTTCTAAGAAATTTCATCTTCCACTTCATTGAAAGTGTGGGTCGGGGCTCCCTTGGAATCTAGGGCGGGTTTTTAAGTGTTGGAAACAACTTCCACTACCTCAATTCTGTTTTGGGACACCAGTAACCTAAACATGAATGCGCACAACCAAATGCAAGTGGGTATTTCTAGGGGAAGTGTGGGTATTGGGACAGGCCCTAACTTGGTACCTAACAGAAACAATGGGCCAGTACTGCATTATTTCATCATTAAAAAGGGACAAAAACCACAGGAACAAAACACATCTGACAAGTACAGCTTTCTGACAAGCTGAGCCATGTATGTGTGGAGCTGTATGTAA